TGATTCTTTGATTTAATCTCTGAAGCTAAATCTTCAAGCTTGTGGCCGATGGAGTTCTGTATTTGATGGTTCAGCGAGGAGGACCAGTCGAGTAAGGACGGACTGTGCCTCCTATACTGCATGGATCCGCCACTTCTTCAAGGATCTTCAGCCCTTGGCTAGAGATGCTGACCCCGATTCTCGGGAGTAAGAGGCCGGCCCGATGTATGGCTCTAGGCTTTATTTCTTGGGATTTCTGGCTTGCTTCCTTTCATTCTTCATTCTTCCGAGCACACCTCTGGATTCTCTCAATCCCTTTGTCTTCCCCTTGGCAGTTAGGCTCTTCAGAGGGGATCGGATTCCTTTGGCTCCGCTATTTCTTGGGAATCTTTGTTACCAGCTGGATCTACTACATCGAGACATGGTTCGTTCCGTGGGTCGATATGAGCCTGTCTCCTTCATTCACAGCCAGTTCCTGCTTTGTTTCTTCTTCGAGAGGTTCTCGAAGTTTGCCCCCACTCTGACTGTATTCGAGGCAGAGGTTCTTCGGGAGATTGTGGATAAAGATGGTATCCCCGTGCTCGGTACTGATGGGTCTCGAACATTTGAGAAAGCGAAGTCTTGCCAGCCGTTGATCACACGTTGGTCACGTACCATTTCCACCTTATCCTTGAATACTCTGGTGGATGATCCCCGACGATTTGTGGCACGGCCGTATGTATGCCCACCGGTGGGTGTGGCAACACCACTTATTTATCATGGTTCCTCCCGCTTGGTGTTCTTTCCTCTGCCGAAGAGCATCCCTGCACACTTTGTTGATATGGTGATAATGACCCGTCCGAGTTCATTATCGGTATGGCATGAGGAAGGCGTTGATAGTGCCATTTATAGACCTGACCGTGTAGTATGTCAATTCGGGTTTTATCAATGTGCCCCGGGGCCAGCACCTCCTTTATTATCATTTTCGGAGAGCTACGGGCGCTTCAGTCGCGGGCTTGTACACATCATGCTTCCCATAGCCGGCTCTTTGACGATGCCAGGCTTGAGCCGAGTAGGGGCTTTTACCCCCTCCTTCGGCGATATTGGCGGAAGAATATCGATGCATTTGCATTTGTCCAGAGCAGAGCGACCATATGTCTGCCTCCGCCGATCTATAAGAAGGACTCTTCTCTTCAGCTGCCTGAGAGCCGAAAATTTGATCACATGTACGAGAGTTTTTTCATTTCATCTGCTCCAACTGACCCTTTGGCTCGGGCGTCTGCTTCTAGCTTGGCAATTACTTCTCTAGAGCCAGTCCCTTTGAATAAGGCCTCTGGTCCTCGGACGACCCGCCTTAAGAAGATGGCTCACAAGAGGACTTCTGATGCCAGTCCTTCCGCTCCTCGCCTTTCCAAAAGGCTTCATGAGGTACCCGAAAATTTTGATTTGAAGTTACTTTCCTTCTTGCGACTAGACCTTCTTAAATGAACACTTTTTATTTTCCTTTGTTGTGTAGGACCCTACGGTTGCTGACGTTCTCAGTACCGTGGCTACTGGCCATGCTTCCTTCACCAGGCCGGATTCAGACTTGGACGACACCCTCCCTTTGTCTGCAAGACTTGTAAAGATGCGCACCCCTCGTATAGCGGTTATAGATGATGATGATGATGAGGCTGAGTCCTCCGACCATTTTTGTGACCTTATCCCGCACATGCGTCGTCACCGTCCTATCGTAACTGAGGAGGGGCGCTATCTTGGTGACGAGGTTGTCGGGGCTCGCCATTCTGATGTTGAGATTGCTGAAGGGGCTGATGCCACAGAAATTGATGCCGCAGGCCATGCTTCTAGAAGCAATGTAGAGATGAGGTGCGCCTCTGGGAATGGTGTGGAGGTGGATGTGCTAGAAATTTCTGAGACTCGCTCTGGCACTTATGGTGATTCTCATCCTCCTGCCCTCCTTCCTTCTTCAGGGATGACTTCTATTGTTCAGGCTTCATTAGACATTAAGATCGATCAGGTGCCCTCTGTACGGCCAAGTGACTTTGTTAATGCTAGGAGTCCTTCAGTTGCTTCGGCTTTGCATAATGATTCTCCTTTTGGTAATCTTTTTTTTTTTTTTTTTTTAAGTTTGTCATGTTCTTCCATTTGTGAGAAATCTTTACTCAAATGGCTTTACTGTTCCCCGCCCCTGATAAAACTTCCTTTTTTTTTTCTTCAGTGTTAGCTGCCACCGGGGTCCTGCCTTCACGTGCCTTGGACTCTGCTCCGACTCTCTTTGTGACTCCTCGTGGTTCTTCTTCTCAAGGGGAGACACCTGCCTTTGAGACGACTGCTAGAGGTCCCTCTGGTAATCTTTCTTTCTGAAGTTTGTCATGTACTTCTATCTGTGAGAAATCTTTACTCAAATGGCTTTACTGTTCCTTACTCCTAATAAGACTTCCTTATCTTTTCTTCAGTGTTAGCTGCCACCGGGGTCCTGCTTTCACCTGCCTCGGACTCTGCTCCGACTCTCTTTGTGACTCCTCGTGGTTCTGCTCCTCAAGGGGAGACACCTGTCTTTGAGACGATTGCTAGAGGTTCTTCATCGCCAGTTCCTTCGAATGTTTTGGATCTAAATCTTAGCGATTTCCACTTTGATAGTGATACTTTTGGTCTTTCCCCTTATCGCTCTGCATTCTCGGGCTCGGGACCTCTAAGTTACCCCTCAGGGTGGTTCATCTAACCTGCTAGACATTCGGGTGATTCCTGAGACTAGTAGCTTTTCGGCCCCAATTCCTCCTTTGGCTTCTGGCAAAGTATCATTTCTCCATTATTGGGTAGCTCCTGAGTTTGCTTCAGTTCTATAGCTTGTGCATTTGAGTTACCTGGAGACCTTTGCTTCATTTGCTTGCCAATGTCCACTCATTCAGACTGCTCTTCTCGAGTCTTTTGCCACCATCTTATATAGCTTGGACTGGCAACGACTGTGTGACCTTAATGGGAAAGTAGTCGAGACAGCGTATCAGGGGATCTCTGACATAGAGCGTCACCAAGTGGATTTATCATGGCTTCGGAAGCGCCTGGATATAGCTTCGAATGCCAGTCATCGGGAGGAAATTTTGTCTGTGCTTGCCTCTTATTGGACCTCTATAGATGAGACAAAGGCAACTCTTCGTGAACTTGAGTCAGGCTATGCTCGGGCCTTGGAGACTTTAGAGGCACACTCTGTTGTTTGTCCTCCGGATGTAGATGTGACGAGCAGCTTTTTCGAGGGTGTTTTTAGGAGAGATTGAGTTTTTTATTTTTTTTTATCATTACTTTCTTGTCCTTTTCGATAGAAATGTTTTTATCTAGGACAATGAAATGAAATGACAAAATCTTTGCTGTTTGGATATTTTCGCATTGTTTTCTCATTCTACTTGATAAAATATTTATTTCGAATGATACGATGGAAAGAACAATCATATGCACATGTTTATAAAAGTTGAAATATTCTCATTAATTCTTCAACTTTCTTGACAAAAGCATAATAAATTCACTGCAAGTGATGGGATAAAACATACATCATAAAGAAAACCAACTTCTTCATAACGTAAGGGAAATACAACTTTTAGACAAAGTAGGAAAATGAAAATGAATTTCAACATAGATGAGTCTAACTACGGGTAGTAATTCTTGACAAACTTTGCATTGAGCGGGACAGTTCGGAAGCCATCTTCAACCCTTACAAGCTTGTAGTACCCGCTTGAGCTTGCCTGAACCACCCTGTAGGGCCCTTCCCATTTTGGAGAAAACTTGGGCAAGGGTTGTCCTCGCATGATTGGGTCTAAAATCTTCCATACTAGATCGCCTTCATCGAACTTTCTTGGCACCACAGTCTGATTATAGGCTCGGGCGATGGACTCATGATACCTTTCCATGACTTTTGCAGCTCTATCATACTTTTCCTCTAATGCTTCCAATCTGGTGGTTCGAGGCTCCAGTACCATCCCCGAGGCGAGAGCCATTCGAGCAGATGGTGTTTCCAACTCTATAGGTAACACTGCCTTGGACCCATACACAAGGGAGTAAGGAGTTTCTTGAGTTGGCTTTCTCTTTGAAGTGCGATACGCCCATAGGGCTACTATCAACTGTTCGGACCAAGTCCCCCCAAATTCATCCATCATCTTGCTCAAAATCCTTATCAGTGTCTTGTTTGTGGCCTCCGCTTGCCCGTTTCCTTTTGGATAGTAGGGTGTGGATTTGTGATGCTTCACTTGGTAAGTCTCTAGGAGGCTCTTCACATATTTGTTTATGAAGGGAGTGCCATTATCCGAGAGGATGGTGTTTGGTACTCCAAACCGGCAAATGATATTTTCCTTGATAAAGTTCGAGACTGCGGGACCTGTAGCTTTCTTTAGAGGGGTTGCTTTGACCCATTTTGCGCTTAATTCTGTAGCTGCGAGAATCCACTTGTACCCCTTAGAAGGTGTGGAGATGGGCCCTATCAGATCAAAGGCCCAGGTATGGAACAGCCATGGCGTTCGGATACTATGCAGGTCTACAGCTGGAGCATGGATCAAATTTTTGTGTTTCTGACAAGTCTGGCACCTCTTCATGTGATGGGACGCATCTGACTCCATGGTCGGCCAGTAATACCCAAGGTGTATAAGTTGGTCGAACAACCGAGCCCCTCATTGATGCTCAATTTCATCTCTTCCGAGGACTAGATCTGACTCCTCTTTGGAGAGACACCTCAGGGGAGTGCCCTCAATACTTCTTCTGTAAAGCTTGTTCTGATCAAGAAAGTATCGCCTTGCTCTCCTCTTGAGGTGTGCAATGTCCTTTGGGCTTTCAGGTAGTGTTCCCTCTTTGAGATAGTCAATGTAGACTTGCCTCCAGTCAGGGGTATCAATTTCAAAGCAACTCTCATCCTCCCGGATGTATGACTGACGTTTGGGGCATTCCTTCTGTAATTGATTCGAGTCCTTCTCCATCTCGGGCCAATAATAGCCTTGTCTTTGGATTCTTCTGTACAGACTGATATCCCCATTCCCACAAGACTTTTCATGGATCTGTTGTAGTCAGAAGCTTGCTTCTTGTTGGCCAACACATCGGGCTAGGAATCCGGTACCCCCTCGGAAGTAAAGTTCAGCTTGAATAATTATGAATTGGGCAAGCTTGGCCATAGTCAGTTTTCCAACTTTGCTTCTGAGTTGTTCGAGGACTTCTCCTCTCCAGTCCTTCGGAAGGTCTTTGTCTTCGGGTATTATTGAAGGTTCTGTTCTCTTCTTGATAATAATTGTCGCCTCTTCCTCTGGAATGTCAACTCTTGCCGGAAGGTCTTTGTCTTTGGGTATTATTGAAGGTTCTATTCTCTTCTTGATAATAATTGTCGCCTCTTCCTCTGGAATGTCAACTCTTGCCTCTAATGTTGCAAGGGCATCTGAAAACTTGTTGTCGGAGTGAGGCACATGCTCTATTTCGACCTTCTGAAATTTGTTAAGAAGCCTTTGGACTGTTGTTCGATATGTGGCCAAGGTAGGCTCCTTTAAGACGAACTGTCCTGAAACTTGCTTCACTATCAACTTTGAGTCCCTCCGAATCCGAATCATTTTGATATTGTGCTTCTCAGCTACTATCAAGCCCAAAATAAGAGCCTCATACTCGGCTTCATTATTCGAACAATGGAAATCTAGTTTATAAGACAAATATAACTTTTCTCCACTTTTGCTTGTAAGGACTATCCCGGTTCCTCCTTTCCCTCCGGCTGCTGCTCCGTCAAAGCTCAATGTCCAGAAACTTTCCTCGGAAGCCATAGCTGCATGCACTTCTCCTCTTAATTCTTCATTCACTGGTTCATAGTCACCACTTGGAAATTGGGCAAGGAGATCGGCTAAGGCTTGGCTTTTGATTGCCTTGGGAGCTACACATGTGATTTCGAATTCACCCAGTGCTAACAACCATCTTGCCACCTTCCCGGTTAGAGCAGGCTTGTTGAGGAGGTATCGGATTGGATCACTTCTAGTAACAATCTGAATCTGATGTGCTAAGAAGTAATGTCTGAGCTTTTGGGCAGTGAATACCAAAGCTAAACAATGTCTCTCTACTGGAGTATATCGGACTTCTGCTCCTCGAATCTTCCGGCTGATGTAATACACCGGGCGTTCTACTCCATCTACATCTTGGACTAATAATGCCCTTATGGACTTGGGGGTTGAAGTTAAGTACAACATTAGAGGTACCCCGGGCTGCGGGGCTATCATGGTCTGAAGCGAGGTCAAGGCCGCCTTGATTCTCTCGAAGGCCTTTTGGTGCTCTTGGTTCCACTCAAACTTGGCATCTCCTTTCAACAATGAACCGAAAGGGGCAGAGATCTCTGCAAGTGTTAGGATAAACCTCCGAATATAAGACACCTTCATGAGGAACTTCTTTAACTCCTTTTGAGAATGTGGGTGAGGCATTGCTTTGATAGACTTGACCTTGTCTTCATCTGCCTCGACACCATACCTATGTACAAGAAACTCGAGGAACTTCCCGGCCGTCACCCGAAAGCACATTTGAGAGGATTCATCCTCATTTTGAATTTCTGGCACCTTTTGAATACTTTCTCAAGGTTTCGGAGATGGTCATCTTCTTTCTTGGATTTCACCACTAGATCATCAACATAATCTTCTACCTTATGATGGATCATGTCATGAAAGATTGCAGTCATAGCCCTTTGGTAAGTTGCTCCGGCATTTTTGAGTCCGAAAGGCATGACTGTATAGAAGAAGTTTCTGAGAGGTGTTCTAAAAGCGGTCTTTTCTGCGTCCTTTTCAGCCATCTTAATCTGATTGTATCCGCTGAATCCATCCATGAATGAGAACATCTGGTGTCCCGAGGTGGCATCTACGAGGGTGTCGATGTGTGGTAGAGGGAATTCATCCTTCGGGCAAGATTTGTTCAAATCTCGAAAGTCTACACATACTCTGATTTGACCATTCTTCTTCTTTACTGGCTCTATGTTTGCCAACCACGTGGGGTACTGTATTGGCCGGATGAAACCTGTTTGTTGAATTTTTTCAATCTCCTCCTTAATCTTCTCTTCGAGATCCGGATGATATTTTCGAGCAGCTTGCTTAATTGGCTTGGAGTTTGGGAACAAATCAAGATAATGGGAGACTAGGTCAGGATCTAGTCCGGGCATTTTCTTATATGACCAAACGAACACATCTGAATACCGACTTATCAACTTTAACAACTGTTCCCGCCTCTCTGGGCTAAGGCTCGAACTTATGAATACCGGCCTTGGAGCATCATGTCCATCACTCAGATCTATTTCAATAAGTTGTTCGGGCTGATGCTTCGGCCCATCTTGCATGCATTCTGGAGCCACTTTAGGAATTATCACTATGTCATTATCAGGAGGCTCTTCTTTTGACTCGGAGTCGGTGACTGAAGAAACCGACTCCTCGCACCTTCATAAATAGTACACCATCTTGCCCCCTTTTCGGACTTTCATTACCTTCCGAGGAATTGGCGGACTTTCTGGTCTAGAGATCGCCCGTTTACTTGATTCTACCCTTGGCTCCTTGTCATCTTTGATATCCTCCCAACGAGGAATTTTGACCTCCCGAGGCTTAGAGGTGGTGGGAACTTCTTCGACAGCTAGTTCGGTGAAGTAGATGGCATCAGAATAATGAGCTTCATGGATCTCGAAAGGCCTTTCTGTAGCTTGAATTGTCACTGTCTTCTTTCCCCATTTAGCCTTAACACATTGATGATAACTCGATGGTATAACCCCATATCTATGCATCCAGGTCCTCCCTAGGATGATGTGGTAGTTTGCCTCGAAATCGATAATATAGAACTTGGTGGCCGAGCGAATCTCTCTGATGGCTAAATCAACTATTACGCATCCGATAGTAACTCTCCTTTCTCCACCGAAGCCAGTGATGACAATCGGCTGCTTCACAATGCGTTCTTCAGAGATTTCGGCCTTTTCTAGAGTAGCGCGAGTCATAATGTTGATAGAGGCTCCACTATCTAGAAAGGCCCTTTTGAACTCAACCCCGTTAATAAAAGCAATCACATAAAGCGGGCGGTTGTGAGAAAAAGGATACTTTTGATCAGCCTCGAAGAAAGTAATGGCACTAGATTGCTCTTTTGCCTTCCTCGGGATAGATCCCTCAGTCGACATGCATTCCTCATGATGTGCCTCGGCTATATTAATGATAGACTTGGTGATTTCTGTTCTTACCTCCCTGGAAAGTCCAAGCTGGTCGAAGAATTACTTGAACTTTACACAGTCTTGCAAGGTTTTGGCATAGTGATTGGCATAGTGATTCGGATCTTTTTCCACTCTTGGAGGCTCATAGTTAACCATCTCCTCGGTCTCTTCAAAATAAGATGCCACATAAACATGATGTCCTCCTCTTCCGTAGTACTCTTCTCCTCCTTCTGGATCGAAGGGATCGTCGACGTGAGTTGTGAAGGTTCTGCCCTCTAGATCGAGAGCACTTTCGTAGTAAACTTGCTCACCCTCGGGCTCGAGGATGTCGTTCAGATAGTAATCATCGTCATCGAGATTGGCAATAGCCTCAATCATCGGGCCTTCATAAGCTATCATAGCAACATTCTTGCCCTTGTCTCGGTGCTGAGGATATGGTTGTTCTCGGATATCTTGAGTCCCTTGCGTTTTGAACCTCAATTTGTCTGCCTCGACTTTATCTCTGAAGATTTTCCTGAGAGTCCAACACTTCTCTGTCGGATGTTTCAATGTACGATGATAGACACAAAATTCAGGGCTCTCACGGTCCTTTTTTGATGGCATTTCTTCGACATAAGGCAATTTTAGCTCTCCGTCGGTCACCCATTCCTTAACTAGAGCTTTCACTTCCTCGATTCGACATGGATAAGAAACATTCCCCTTTTCACCATTATATTGCTTTCTCTTCTGGCCTCTATGACCTCCTCCTTGTGACTTTCGGGCATTTGGGGCAAAGGCAGCAGCAACAATAGGTCCACGAGACGATTTGAAGCTAGTCTTGTAACTGGCCTTAAATCCGAACTCCTGAGCCTGAGGAATGCTAATGTTCCAAGCTGCTTCTATTAATGCTGAGAAGGTGGGTAGCTTGTGATTAACTAGAAACATTTTGTACCTGCTCAATGCCCCTTCTAGACAGATTTGAACCAGATAACTGTCCTCCATTGCTTCATGGCAATCCACGGCCTTGTCCTGAAACCTTTTGATGTAGTCAAGGATGTCTTCACTTTCTTACTGCTTTTTTTCACACAATGTAAGTGTGGTCACCTTCTCCGCCACTTGAAAGAACTTAGAGTGGAATTTGTTAACCATTTCCTCCCAACTTCGGACAGAGTTTGGGGCCAAATTAACATACCAATTATATGCTCGATCGGTGAGGGACTTAGAGAATTCTCTCAGCCGGAGGACGTGGTTTGAACCATGAATGCGTAAAGTCTCGATGAATCGCACAACATGTTCTCGAGCATCTCCTTGTTTGCCATCGAACTTGATGAACTTCGGCACTGTATACCCCTCAGGGTATGGATAGTTCAGCATCTCAGTGGGGTAAGGCGGCTTGACGTCTGGATCAGGCAAAGAGGGTAAGGTCCTCTTGCCCCGTTCGAGATCGAACATGGCCTGCACATCGGCGAGAGTGAGAAACTGTTGAGGGAGAGAGTTTGATGGTGGTATTCCCGGAACTTGGCTTATGGACCCGAAGACTGAGCTAGGGGCGACTTGGCCATTCTGGTGCTGCGGATTTATCATTGGTGAGGACATTTGACGATACTGGCCATCAGCGCCTATAGACAAGCCAGTTGGTGAGGGATATTGAATTGAGGCTCGTAGAGTCCACCGCACGGCGCCGCTATACCGGGTTGTGCTTGCAAATTTGTTGTCAGCACCAAAGGAGGCCCGCCTGGTGCTTGGGTAACATTTACTGGTGGCGTAACAAGATTAGGTACGGGCAAAGCTCCCTTTTGCGCCATCATGCTCCTCATGTTGTCCTGGACACCAACAGTTGCCGGAGCGTCATTCATTACACCAGAACCTCCCATAGTCACCATTGGATTTTGGCTTGGCACGCCATGGAGCCCGAGCATGGGCAAACTGCTGCCGCCTAATGCGGTTTGAGCATGTGTTACTGTGGCCGTGTTGCCATGAGCCATAGGTTGATTGGGGCCTACTTCTCATTGGATTTGATTTTGCGCTCCGACGGGAATAACTTCACCACTAGTTTGATTTCTGTTTGGCGTCGGTGCAAAATTAGAACTCATTACCAACATGGTGTGAGTGAGATTCTGAAGAGTGGTAAGAATCTCCTGCTGAGTGTTTTGAAGTCCTTGAATGGCCTCACGCAAAAGTGGTTGATCTGGAGCCATGGTCCTGTCATGACCACCATTAGAGGATCCTTGTTGGTGAACTTCATCTTCTCCCGCCATCCTTGTTGGAGTTGTGTGGATTCCAGATCTCGTTGAGACCATTAACCAATCCGCCTCCCCAGTGAAGTCGCCAAATGTAGGAGAGGGTTCAAGAAAGGAGTTGGAAAATTCGAAGATCTTCAAAGATCCTTGAACAACAGCTTCGAATTCTCTAGAAGATGATGAGAGGCTTAGATTCTTCAATAGTCTCAACTTAAGAACACAAAGTAAAGGAGATGATAGAGATAAGTGATTGGGTGAAGAAAAAGGCAAAGTGGCTAGAGAGAGAATAATGGCAAGGCTCTCCCATGGATCTCTCACTTTCACTCTCAAGGTTGATAATGTAGAAGGGAAATTAGTTCTTTCCCAAGAGTTAAATCTCCAAAATCCATCCCTTGTAAAGCTATGGGTGGGTGCTATTTATAGGCACCTCATGATGTAGGATGGAGCCCATGTGCAAGGCACATGGGGAATATTCTCTCTAACCACCTTGTCCGAGGAGGTGACCTCTCCGAGAATAAGACCTCTCCGAGGATGAGGAAAATCCCAAAGAGGAGATCAACCTCTCGGCGAACCGTTTTTCTTAGCCACACCTAACCAATGATCCCCAATCATCCTAAAGGGTCAGGGGTAGTCCCAGAGGACGTCCTGCCGCAAAATATTGCCGAGTCTCATAGACCCCTCGGAGTCATGCCACCTCGACCCGGGTATAGGCTAGTTTAACCGAAGAGTGAATTTATCTCCACTCACCGTCCTCGGGATCGGGTCCTTTGTTCAAACTACATTACGCCCATGGTTCTGGTGCGTAGATCCAGGAAAGCTCCAAGCCCGCAAGTGTTTTGGGACTCATTAACGGAGCAACTTCTAGATTGCGTTTGAATCCGTTCGAAGCCAGGTGCTTCAGATCTCTAGGTTCATGGATCCGAACCCTTTCGAGTCCGAGCTCGAGTAAGTCTCTAAGTTCGTGGATCCGAACCCTTTCGAGGCTTAGAGCGATTCAGCCTGTTTGATGGCGATAAATCCGGACCCACCAATCTTGGACTTGCGATAAATTCGGGCCCACCAACCTTCGACTATTGGGCCTAATTAATTTAGTGGGCCCAAATTAGCTCATCTTACACTATAGAAAATA